GTCGTTGAAAAGAGGTTTACTTAGTAAATAAAAATTTTCCTTTGGGCATCTCCTAGATTCCAAAAAGGCAAAATTTACATAGTAAACATAACCCCACTATTTACTATGTTTTGTTACTAGTTCTCTGGCGGATCACGAATTAATTATTTGGTTAATTATTAACAAAGTTACATTTTTGTTTTTGTGTTTAATTATTCAATTTTCTTACCAAAATTCGCATATTTTGATCCATCATTGATATCTCATGTTCTAATAATCAGATCTTGGTAATTAAATCTTGAAACAATTCGAATAGTATTAAAATTATCAATTTGATCACTAGAACATGAGATATCAACGATAGATTAAAAATTATTCGAATTTTGTTATTATTATTTTATATTTACTGTAAACACGAGAAACAAAAATGTAACTTTGTTAATAAGGGTTCGGTATTAGGCTTTACAAAGTTTTATATCCTGAAACGTATAATATTGTTAAGGCTAATGTATATAAATTTGAATTTATTAGTTTTTAAAAAATATACTGCTAAAATTTTGTTATTATAAAATTTTATTATAAAATTTTATTAACAGAATTTTATAAATTTTTATAAATAAATTAGTAAAGTTGGTTTTTTCAGATTTTTTACTTGTATAATTTTAGGTTGTTAATAAAATATATTATGGATAAAATTGTTAGGGAAATTGTTTTTGGTAACAATTACCGTATTGTATTGATTTAAAAAAAACCAGATTATATAACAAAATGCTAACCAAAAAATTCATACCCGATCACTATAATCAAGATTACGGGGTATTTGGCAAAAATATCCTGATCTGTACATGCGTACAAGAGGAAACGGAGGCTTCGTTTCTGTTAATACACAATGGCTCAGGATAGTTTTATTACAAAACCCCAGGTATATATTGTACGTCAGAGGATCTACAAACATAGCTCCTTATGATATGTAGTTTAAAAAAGAATTGTTCACGATTATGAAATTCCAGAGGTTTTAACCTAGATATTGTTACATAAGGGACATAATAAAAAAAAAAAAAAGATTTGTTGGGTACGGTATATTTATACCTACTGATATATAATATTTCTTAATTTATTTCACTTACGTTAATTTAGCTAGCGAGTATAAAAGTCATTAAATAAGCTACTCGGATTCATTAATGTTTGCCTTTAAATGATACCCTTCATTGTTCAAGTTAATTCTTTCTGTAAATATAGGGTTAATTGATTACATAATCAGGTGCTAAAATGAGTCATTCAAATCTTACCATAATATAAAAATAATTATCATTTTATTCGTGTTAAGCTAATCAAGCATAAGATTATTAATCAATTATATAATACCTATCATCGTATTCCATCCGATTAATTTAGAATTTTACCATACGAATAGTCTATGGTTTTATTGATTTAGCAAATTTATAAATAATTTTCAATCCGATCAACTGTCAAAGCCCTCCTGAACCTACGTGCGTATTATTTACAAAGATTTTATTGTGATTTGACTAAAAATTTAATGTATGTACGTATAGATTGTTTTAATACTATCAAGATACAACAAATGTTATCATAAACATTCATTACGAACGAAATTGGTTGGTTACTTCCTAATTTAGAAATATATAGTGTTAGGTGTTAGAAAATATTTTACCAATTAAGCAACTTAATAGGGTAAGCGTCAGAAGAATTCACCAATCGGTTGACTAATTGATTGTTACCCGGTTATAGAAAAGCCAATCAAATTACTTAAACAAAACATGAATAGGAAATGTTAAACCTATTTTGGTTCATAACCAAGATTTGAATAGAATCTGTTTGAAACGAAAAGTCTAGGAATTAACACGCACAGGCCAACTATTATAAGTATTATGACAAAACTCTAAGAACTCGTTTAAGCATATGATATTGTGTTTGTTTAATAAAGGAGCTTTTTTTTTGTTTCAAAAATATATCTGTAAAAGGGTTATCAACTAGGCCTCAAGAATATATATACTGCGTCATCGGTTTGAAACCCTTAATCAATTATGAAACGATGAACTTTTTTTGTTTATCATTTATATTTTAACAAATTATCACAGAGAAGCCAGATTTGATAAACGATTAAGGCCTGCAAAGTGGTTTCCTTTTTCTTTTTTTTCTTTTTTTGCGATCAAAGTTGGTGATCTTTTTGTCACTCCTTTATTCCCTTATTCTTGTTGGACAACTAGGTTAAACATTCTTTCAAACTTAGTAGTTGTGTGCATAAATTTTATTAAAAATTCAGATCAGTTTTAACTTTTCACGCATATATAATAGTTTTCAAACTTCAACTATTCGAGATAAAATCAAAAATGAATTCTTTTTGATATGAAATTCTAGACAACGACCAAAAAAAAAAATTACAGAGTAAACATTGTAATAATTTCAACGAAAGACCCGTATAAATAGTGTCACCTGATCTCTAAGAAGTCAAGATGGTTCTTGGAAACAGAGCAGTTGTTGAAACATGGATAATATTTCAATTTTTTAATGTCATACCTTTATGTTTTTTATTCCTTCAATTTCTTCATAAGGGAAAACATTATACTATAGCTTGCCTTAGTATAACAACGATATTTGATTGTATAATAAGTGTACCCGTTGCTTTACAATATTATTTTATCAACCAAAGTTCTATAACGTCAACACCTCAAAATACCTCAACAACAAACGACTCGATTACTACTGATAATGATACTGAAACCTCTCCGACGATGTTATTAATTGCTCTCGATGGCACTGCTAATATAGAACCTATTTGCATCGCTCAAGCTTACGCATTATATTTTATAGAATTAAGTATTGGGTTTTGGATCTTTTGCTTAATGATTAATATGTGGTTGTTGTTAGTTAAAGCTACGAGCGATATTGAGGCCAAATGGTTCAAGGTATAAATTTTTATATTTACGAAATAAAAAAAAAAATCCAATATCTTATATAATAAAAACTTATATATCTCTGACGTATTCCAAAATTCATAATATAGATCCATATAATATTCTCCTGGTGTGTTCCTTTATTCATAACATTCACTACATTCGTTATTCTAAAATCGCAAGTCAATTTTGGCGTTACCACATCCTACTACCATTGTATAGTCACAGGTGGACTTGTTAGTCTCGGCGCAAACCATATTCCTTTCGTGCTGTGCATGTTTATAGGTCTTGGTTTAGGCGGTAAGTGATTAAAAGCATTCAATAAGTCACATATTACAAACATTTATCTTAAATTTCTACATTATTATTATTATTATTATTAGTTCATGCTTCATGGGCATTGATCACTTATCGAACAAGGCTCTCTAGAGGGCGTCAAACAAACAAATTAAAAATTCCAATGGGGTATATAATCATATAAGTAGGTTTGAATTTTCGCGTACGTAACAGTACAATTGCTCAAATTTTATTTGTAACGATTTTATACGTTTAGGTTATGTATACGAATGATCCTATTTTGCGCTCTTTTTGTTGTCTTGTCTTTTATAAAACTTGGTATGTTTTGAAATTATGATTTAAAAAAATTTTTTATGTACATATTTCATTTTCATCATTTTGATCATTTTTCATCAATTTATTTAAAAACCAATTTCTTTTTTTTTTAAAATATATATATATATATATAAATAGTCCTACCACTTGAAGATTTACTCGAACACTTAAGTTGGAATACAACAAATGTTTGCAGAGCGATGGCCCTAATGTCGCCACATATAAATGCTTATTTCAACACAATTTTGGCATTTGGTCTCTTCTTAATCTTTGGTACAACTCAAGAAGCTCTACGTTCTTTACTTCTTTGTATATGTTTAAAGCCCATATTCCGTAAACGATCATCTATTGCTTCATTTGTTGGTAGTCCTGAGCATAATTCAATGAATGATGATGATACATCGGCAATGGCAGTTAACGGAGAAGATGATGATATTGAGATGGACTCAGAGATGGAGATATCAATTGTTGAGCCTCCACCTAGCACATTCGGAAATTTGAAAAGGACAACATCATTCAGTAAATATAAAATAGGAGATGATGTTTTAAAATTTGAAGAAATTAGATGGGGTAACGTGTTTAGAAATTATAGCATTGGCAGAAATGGTCGTCATAATTATGGAGGAAATAATAAATCAGACAAGAATGGTGGTGATAATAGTACTAGTGCAATTAATAGTGCAATTAATAGCGTTAAAAGTTTTAAAAGTTTTAAAAGTTTTAATAGATTTCTTGAAAGTCAACAAAATGATAGAAATGGGAATGAAATAAAACAAACCGGAGGAAATGAACACTCAAATGACGATAATACAGTAGAGAATAAAATAACAGTAAGTTTAACGAACAATGACCAGATAAATTCCGATATTTTATCTTCGACACCACCACCACCACCCATTCCTTTCATGCAACCTAAAACGCCCGGATCAATGAGAAATTAATATATATTATAGAATCTTTTGTATACATAGGGTTATGTCACTTTGTATTTTTTGTATAGTCTTTTTTCTATATTAGAATAGACAAAAAAAACAAAAAAACGGTTTTAAAATTTGTCCTTCTTTTCGTAAATAAATAAAAAAAAAAAAATTAATTAAAGTAGGTACGTTCGTAATTTATTTCGATGGTACCTACGATAAAAATATTAATGAGATATAAATATTTTTAAGTATGTCATTTTTTTTGTTTAAATACTTGGTTTTTTAATCGAATATATACATACTGTATCAGCAAAGGTAGTTTTCTAAAATTATAAATGAATTTTCTAATGCAAACTTAAATAATTTGTAAATATACCAGATACAATACATACAAGTAGACAAAAAATTATTTGCGGACTCTCAAGATTTTATTTGATTCAAATTGTAAGTTACTTAAGTTACTTTATAACATATTCAAATTATAAGTTACTTAAGTTACTTTCTAACTTTCAAATAAAATGGAACCGGTTTACTTTAAATCGGTTTAACGTAATGTAAAATTCAGATAATCCGGTTTTTAAAATTAAAATCCGGTTTTACCGTTGTTTGTTTGTATACCATGAAAAGATATGAAAGTACTGAAAATTACTCTATTCACTTTTTGTAAATTTCGATAAACCAATAAAAAAGATGCAAATCTATATGCGGAATATGCGGAATATGCGATGCGTAGATTGAAAAATTCATTTCCAGGCAAAATTTCTTGGAATCTGCGAATTTTATTATCTTACATTTTACGCATGATTTTTTTTTTTTTTTTTTTTGATATGTTTACAAAAATTGCCAAGCTTTTCCTCATATCGAAAATGAAATAAAATTGAAATTTAAAACACCGATTGTAAACCATTTTTCAATTACAATATAATATAATTTAGAAACCAAGTATAGCATCACGTGATTCGTTTGTATCACATTAACCCGTTGTTCAACAACGGAAGTCGAAGCATCTAGCTATTTTTAAGATTTCATTTAAATTTTAATTTAAATTTAAAATTAGACTTTAGAATTAGGGTGCAAATTAAAGTTAGAGGTTAGAGCTATGTGGGGTGCTGAACATTTTTACGCACCAATACTAAAGCCACTTTTGGGGAATAGCATACCGATACCTGGTAAATTCATTTCCGATGAGTATTAAAATCGTCCTTTTTTAATAAAATAAAAATGAAAATAAAAATAAATAAACAAACAAATAAAAGCATTTTAAACATAGTTATTTGTTTTTAAGAATTAGCATTTAATACGTACTTAAGAATTATAGTTAATAAAAACAGTATTAAAAATTTATTCGATACAAAAGAGTTTATATTTTTAACTGCAATACTAGCAAAATGTCGACGTTTTATAGTCTAGATCCTTAATTAGCATTGTTATGTTCTTGCTTTAAATTTAGGAATATATTATCAAGAAACCAATTTTTGTTTTTCTATCAATATTTTATATTAATACAATATTTTGACATTTATATAGGTTAACATTTATGTGCTACATCGAAGTTGTGGCATATAATATATTTATTAATCTTAGATTTTACAGAGTGAATTCTATGAGATCACTTAGTCACAGTTTATCATAACATGAGACATAAATATTTATTATAGTTGGAGTTTAACGAAAGAAAATCGTTGTGACACATTACTATGTTATATAAATAAATAAATAAACATGAAAAGAAGAGAAAAGAAAAGCATTTATGTATATATGTTATTTAATGTCGTCTTCTTCATCTTTGACCCACTGTCTCTCTCAACACGAAGTAGAAGTATAATAAAATCTTCGTAGTCACGATATCCCTTATACCTTGCTTTTTTCTATCGTAGCAGGTTTAAAAGTTGTAAATCATATAAAATCTTCAAGCAAAATCCTATTACTTTGTTTTTTTTTCTAGGCATTCTCTACACTACACTGGCAAGATCCGACTTCATAAAAATAAAAAATTAATATGAAACCCATTTCATTAAAATTATTTCCTCGATAACCCTTCATAATCATAGTTATGACTTGACTTTTTATACTTATTAGACCTACCTTTTATCTTATCAATTTTGTCTTTTCTGGAGATATCCGTTTATAGCATCAGTGACATCCAGATAATGCTGATATATGTTAACATAACTTTCTTGTTGCTGGAATATCACATGAGTAACAAATTACCTGAAGTCTTACCATTTGGTATGTTACACCTTTTCATAATTCTAATAATTCGTCGGCAATTGTGCTAAATATTAGATAGTAATAGTTTCAACTATGATATCAATATGTAAGGTTGAAGAGGAGGGTGACAAAGAAGTTAGTTAAATTGACGAAAGTAACACCGTAGCAATTAGAAGACCAACGTGCATCACAGAAATATGTGATGCAGTCGATATAGTTATAGAGCCAAAAAGGTGAGATATGAAGATTTCGGCACACGTTTATAGCAGACCACATTTAATTAACAGGATACCTTTTTAATTGACTGATCCTAACCATTTGAATCTTCAGCATATAGCTGTGGCATGTTCTATGGAGTTATATGTAATCTCCCACCGTGATATAAGGTTCAAAAAAGAGAATATGCTGGTACTTGGACTCCTACCAGGCCCTAATGAAGTTAAGCTTCATAAAATAAATCACCAGCACCCGACTATAATAATTTTATACACCTAACCTTTTAAGCTGTTCTCCATCTTTTTACTCCAAAAGAACTATACCAAATTATTAAAAAGTAATACTGTATCCATACAAGTTATCAAGTGATCTTATAATCTTATCGCCATTTTTGTTGTTTTTTCCTCATAGTCTTTGACATTTAAATTATCAATTGCTTCATTCCATCGGTTATATTCATTAGTTATAAACAAAATGGTAATTCGAAGTGACCTTTGTAAGCTTTTTGTTACTGATCAGCTAAGTATATACCAAAAAAAATTGGATTGATAATCAAAAAGTTCGAAATATCCAACATATGAATCTTACCAAGTATTTATTCTTTCAATAAAAATTCTTACAAAGAATGAAAATATTTTTGTAATGCTGGCATCAATATTATAGGTGAAGCGAAAAGAGCTTCTAAGAATACCTTAAGTTAGGCCAGACCAATTTAATTCGGTAGTTTACATTACATTCCTTACTCAAAAGAGGGAGGGGAGGGGAGAGGCAAACGTATATAGGAAAATTTTAAAAAAGAATCAGATACTCAAATTTTTTGTCTCGACATTGCCTTTATTTTATGTTCGTTCACTTTCTCTTCGGAAATTTTCGGATCATTTATGATTCCTATTTCTTAATCTGTACGTAACCATATGGGGTCTTTGCCTTGAAAATGACCTTACAGTATCATGTACCGTAAGGTCATTTATCAAGGCAAAGACCCCATATATCGATATACCCCAATCCTTTTTTTATTGGGGGGATAAAAGGGGATTATTTAGATCATCGAATTAAATTGGTCTGACCTTATTGTGTTCCAAATTTATGTAATTGAGTTTTTACTCTAATTATTAATAGAACATACCAAAAACCTTAAATTTAGCCGATGGAGAAAACGATGAGAAGACATTTTCTCTATTAATGATTTACTAATGAAATAATTAAAATAATTGTCTATGAAAAAAGCCATTCGTTTGGTGCAGAAAGTGCCAATTATTTTACAAGTTGTTATCAATTGATTAGCTATGTATATCAAAAAATTGAAGATTTTTTTTTAATAATTAGATAGCTTTTTCTTTCCTGGGATAAGTTATTTTCAGGACCTATTATGTTACTGGGTTAAATGATAATCCTAATTTAGCACCATAAATCTGGTCTGATCACTTATCAGAAACGACAAAATAATGAATTAAGATTTTCATCATTAACTGATTGGTATTGTATCGGTTAAGGATTCACCCTAACATAATAATAATTTTAACCTTTGGGTTACTTATTTGACTATCTTATCCGGCTATAATATTATTATCTGAGTACAAACTCAAGTTATTAAAAATAACAATTGATTCGGTTGCTGTTATTAATATTAACACAGAAAATCGGGCGGTTTACGTTAATTTGAATAAGTTATTAAAAAATATCAATCTTTATTAATAAAAAATAATATATAGCATATAATAATAAAATAAAATTAAAAAACAATTAAAATTAAAATTAAAACTAATAGTAAAAACATCAAAAAAACACCGAAAACGTTAAATTATTTTCCTTTTATATAGCATAATATATATTAAGTATGGATATATATTTATACGTAGTAAAAATAATCTTGAACCCGAAGACAATTATAATATTAAACATATATAAGCAATGTAATAGAAAATCCAACAGCTGGTTTAGAAATTTGTGTTTGCAATTATTGAAGAATTCGCAATATGTCAACAGGAAAATTAATTTTTGCAATATAAAAATATGATACAGATTTTAATTTAAAATAGCTTCTATATAAAAAAAAAAAAAAAAGAAAAAAAACTTGAAAAGCGGATAATCAATAATTACACATGTAAATAAAAAAATAATTATCACAAAAATTTAAAAACAAATAGTTTTTAGTTTCTTTTTTTAAATATATTTGTGCATTTTAAAGCAAAGAAAAAGAAAGCTAAAAAGTTTATTGTCTTTGATTATATTTTTTGTATTTGTATAATACAAAAATTTAAATGTGTTTTTTGAAATTATGGTACAGTAAGTTCTATATAACAAACTGATGTAAAAAGAGTTTGCCATATAAAATTACTTATTTTTGCTTATTTTCTTAAGTCATACTCTTTTTATACCGAACAAATATAAGATTTAAAAAGCTTTATCCGAAGTTCGCTATAGAGAGAGTTACCGTATTTTGCGGAATAATAACCCCGGGATATTATAATATGTTTATTTATAGGGGAATTTATAAATAGGTGCCCAAAAAAGTAAAATAATTACATATAAGTGCCTTATTTTGGAAATTTTTACTATATCTCATGATGTAGT